TTTTTTTTTTTTTTTTTGGTAGACTCCATAAAAAACGCAGGATATGCAATCACAAAAAGAGGAGATTTATTTAGATTTGGATCATATATTAGCTACCAATATAAAAGTTTTGTATTGTATTCCTAAAAAAAACGGAAAAAGCAGATATGTTAATAGATCACAATTTTGTTAATTTACTATTTTTAAGCAATAATTAATAAAATTGGTGAGAAAGTATTTCTAAAAATGAATTATGTTAATCATTATTATATATCTATTAATATATAATAAGGATTAACTTAATTCATTTTTAAAAAAATCTTTCCCGCCAAATTCATTAATTACACTCTAAAAGCAGTAACTTAACACACTTTCATTAATTATTGCTTAATTATATGCCTCTGTTTTTCCGATTTTTTTTTCTTTTATGATATGGAATGAAAATCCTAATCAATCTTCTATTTTTGTCTCCATATCAATCACAGAGATAAAAAACTGAAAAAAATGGTAACAAGATTTTTAATTTTCGGTACAATAAGAAGAATTATTTTGAAGTTACATATATTCGTTTTTGTTTAAAATATTAGATAGATTTATTTTTGATGAACCCAAATATATAGATCCTATAAATATTAATATTGTAATGTAGTGAGATATTCTACACGTTGTGAACTTATATTTCTGAAATCTCATATAATAACTAAAAATAATTATATATATATAATATATATATATATATATATATTAGTATTTACGAGAATCTCGAACACACTCTGCCATTCAATTGTCAACCGTTAGGAAAACAATTTCTCATACTATTAGCAGAAAAACAAAACGATTATGGACCAACCAATGTGCTTGATCACCATTTATGAACATACAAAAAATTGGAAAATCCATAGTAAGTGCCAAACAAAAAAATGGACCAACCTTTCGTTCTTATCAAAGATGTTGAAAGTACAAAGAGAGTTATGTTGCAACTTCTGAAAATCCGAAAAGAATTAGAGGAAGAAGATGTTTATGCAATTTGCAACTACAAAGTGGAAAGAAATCTTAGTAAATATGGATCTGCAATTATCAAATACAAAATAATTTTGCATAGAATAATAAAAATCATAGCCAACCCAACCTATTTCTCTATTTTCTGTTTTGATTTTTGAAATTTTGCAACATTTTGTGATGTGGAAAATGTCGATGAGTCTTCACTTTTCGATAAGAATAACTTTCGAATATATTCATTATCATATCTAACAATGATTAAATAAATATTTTTTATTTCTTATGAATGTAGATGTCATTGGGTTGGTAGTAGAAATTCAACAAGTGCAATTCAAGCAAGTTGCACGACAACATACCCAAATGATTGACTTTACTCTTCTCGATTTGGAGTAAGTATTTGCATAAAGGTATTTAATTGTTATATACATTTAAAAAAAATTTATTAGTTTGAAATTATAATTTTATCTATTATAGATACAATACTATTAGTTTTGAGAGTCGTTATAAAGACAAAGGCTATCCATGAGTTCTCATAATGTAACTTAGTAGAGCAAGATTGTGTGGTGGTAATATTAAAAAATTAAAGTATTATAAATTTTGATATTTTTTAATTTTGCTTTTTTATATATAATAATTTGGTGGAGCAAGACTGTGGGTTGGTTGTATTAAAAATCAATAATGTTATGTACAAAGAGGTTTTTAATAATGTATGACTTTTTTATGACGAATATTTTAGATCAAGTGACAAATGCTCTACGTATTATACGTTATTGATTAATAACCTTCAGTTTATAAATTTTACCAAAACAAATACAGCCCGTGCATTGCACGGGTTACATACTAGTTAATAGATAGATTGGTGGAGTCATTTCCTCATATAGTAGTGGCTGAATTGATCAATTGGGCCCTGAAAATATAGCAATAGGCGTCTATGTAATTATGATTAATTGGGCTTAGACATGACCATGGGCTGGACTGACAGGCCAATTCGTCCCAGGCCTGGTACCCGCTCGTGTTCAACGGTCATTGAACTGAACTTGTGGTTTGACCAGGCCGGTTCTGGGCGACATATATGTACTTTTTAAACAGTTGGCCTGGTTTTGAACTGGAATCACAACCGGCGGTTCAACCCTTTTGTTAACCATAGTTAAATTTTAAAAAATAGTTGGGTTAGGTTTGAGTGAAATTTTGAGTTTGTATTTAAATAATATATAAAACAAAATAAATAA